TGTGCCTGCTTGTCAACACGCTGGTCAAGTCGCACAAACTGAAGGTGCAAGTGTAGTCACCCCCTCTATATTCTCGCCAACTCAAAACTATTTACCTGCAAATCCTATCGTTCCTAATAGAGATGATGTCTGCCCGACGGCAATACCCACCAGAAATGCAATATTCGTGTCCAGACTGGCGCCTGACACCTCTGAGTATAACATAAAAAGTTGTCTAGCTGCAAAAGTCTCATCCATCAATTTGAAGCATGTAAGCATTTTCAAATTGGCTCCATTTCAATCTAGAGCTATCTCGTCTTTTAAAACCTTAGCTTCGACTGCAAACAGAAATTTTGTTAAACGAAGCATTGCGGCCAGTTGGATCCTTAATAAAGGAACTCATTTCTCATGATCGACCCCGTAATAATAATTCTTCCACCCTCAAAAACCTAAATGTTCCTTCAGGCCCAACAACTTTTATTTACCAAAATGTTAGGGGCCTAACTCAAAAATTCTCTCCAGTGAGCACGGAGTTTTCCTGTTTGGTTTTCACCGAACCTTGGTTAACACCCGATTTACAATCGTCAGAACTGCTACAACGCCGTTCTACTCAATTGTATTTCATACTTCTCCCGACATTGAATTTATTTAAAATTGCCAATAAACACTTATGTGTAATATGCTCCTATATTCCTCCATATGCGGATATCTCTCTTTATAAGAAACATGTTGCTCTCATTTGAGACGTAGCCGAAAAGTGTGAGCCGACTGATATATTCATGGCGTTGGGAGACTTCAATAAGCCACATATCACTTGGAGTTATAGTCATAACACTGGCTGCATGGTCTCCACTTCAACTTCAACATCTGATAAAAGTATTCTGTTTTTCAATAAATTATGTGAAGGCAATACACTTCAATACAACTGTACTCATAATTGTAATGGCTAGGTCATTGCTTTGCCGATTTCCCGGAAATAGTTGTAAATCGCTGTCAACCCTTTACTTTACATGAGGATCTGTATTATCCAACAATTTGTATTTCCTTTATTGTATAATTTTAATAAAACCAATATTTTACTATTTAAATCTCATGTTTCATATATTATGCTCAATTTTTCTGCTGACAATATTGAAAACTTACTGTCATCGTTCTATAATGTATTAAACCCAGCAATTTGTGCGTCCGTTCCCATCAATTGATTCCGTTCAAAAGCAACTTTTGCTGTTTGCCTTTGGGAATATGGGTTGCCACTCGATCTCTTTTTCCTTATGAAAATTTGTGGCTTCTTATCCTTACCTTCACGTGTGAAACGATTTTTTCTTGGTATTTCCTTCTTCATACTACTTGGTGAGACAAGCTTTAATGTCGCTAACCGCCTCTTTGGGCTGTTTATTTTCATTGAGTTGAATTAAAGTATATATAATTACGAGCTCGTTAATCTGTGCAAAGTTGCTTGCAGAAACTTAAATGATGCGTATCGCTCAATCTCCTTACAGTTTTCTTAATAATAATTTATAGCTAATAATCAATTTCATATGAAAAAAATTGGTACTATGGGTACAATGGATCGACTATCAGTAATCCAATACAATTACGAAATTCCTTTCCTTGATACGGTTCGTATCACTAGATCGTGGTTTTATTTACAATCAATTTCTTTAAGGAAAGGATTATGTGCAGTTTACTTAGTTTGACAATATTCTTAACTTAAACTTTCTTTTCGACCAACTTATTCTGTTCAAATATTCTGCTTATATAAGCAAGTTTTCATTCACCATCAATGGGCCTCAGTTTTTCCTTAGGTCGTCAATATTACCAGCGAAAAGTAGTGTCACTAGCTAAAAGAAAGCCAAGTGAACATAGATTACGAATTGATAGTAAACACTTAAATGCAATGGTTTTAAAAGACAACTTCCCAAGGCTGGTGGTTGATGATGTTTTTGAAAAACTACAGTCAACACAGTCAACAATCTCCTTTACTGGCGAGTTGGAAAACCAGAAACATGATAAATGTCTAGGAAAAGAGAACAATGAAAATTAATGCAGAAAAAGAATAAAAGTAAAAGGAAAGGAGCGTAAAGCAGCGCCATATAAAAGTAGAAAAAAGAAACAAAGACTCACCATTGCAGAAGTAAGTCTTAGAAGAGAAAACTGCGAAAAACGAATCCATAATCAAGAAACAAGATGAAGCTAATGAGGATTTAGAAGATATGAATCGCTATTAATCGAAAGAAGCCCCGGAGAAGCGGATAAATATCGTGAGATTCAAAAGCTTAAAAAAAATGAGGAAGCTATAAAATAAGAAGAAACTGATGCAATCAACAGTCTTAAAACAGCGTTAACAAATGAATAAGCTTTATGTATATACGACATAAATGCCATAACGGAACTGCATATACACGCATCGAAAAATGGTTTCAGTGCAATACGATTGCAATTATTTGAGAGGAAGATAGATCGTACATTTTTTTGAAGCAAAAAAACGACACCCCAAGAAGGCAAACTGCCAATTATATCATGGAAGTAAAAGCGGGTTATTATGCACTAAAAAAGTTAAACTTTTGTTACTGTAAACTGTTAAATCGGTTACAGATTGCAATACATTGAAACACACACCAGCGAAGAAGGACTTTCCACCAGAACCTTCAAAAATAATAATGTCCACCCAAGGCTTTTTAGATATTGTCGAACATCATTCCAGCGGCAAATTACAGCACGTTGATAGCCTAGCTCATAATTCCATGAAGATGTTAGTAATACCTTCAGAAATAATGTCCACGTTTACAAAATTAGAAAAAGTTGATGATGTTGATGCATATATATCGGGCAACACAACCTGATTGTCTCAAACAAACATGTGCTTAAAAGGTGGCGTTTAAGTTTATATTTTTTTTCAAGATAGTTCTCTTATTCTTTGCTCTTGTAAAAAACTATATTGATTTGAAAATGAGTGAACTATCTGAAGAAATACGCTTTGTGATCCTTTTTTATTATGAAAAGTAAAAAGGCTGCAAAAGAAAAGAAAATTCTGAAGTGTACGGTGAGAATGCTGTGAATAAACGCATAATCAACGAGTGGGGTGCTCGATTGCGTTCCGGAAATTTCAAAGATACACCTAGCACTCATTGAAAAAATCGATCAAATTTTCAACCGGTGCAGCAAGACTGGCACGTTCGCTGTCACCAAATAGCGGAGGCACTACACATCAACCACATGACAAATTGGCATCAATATGTCGTAATATATACATTTATATAAACCCATTAGTTTTAAATATCCTCTCATTTTTTAGAAAAAAAAGGCAAAGAAAGTGATGCGGGAAGCGCAATAAAAAAACAAGATCGGAAATTTTTCGACAAGGTTAAGTCGTCGATCAAAGAGAAAAATCCGCTTTCAGTAAAAACCGATCATGTAATATTAGTTTGGGGAGATTTCTCGTAAAGTATCGATCAAACAATTTCATATTTTTGCTCGTTGGAAAGGTGACATTTCGCAGCAAAAAAAATTTTTTTTGCTGTTTTTTGTTTGGTGCATTCAGTTGTGAGTTACAGCGTGTTGAAAATGGAAGTGAACAAAGAGAAAATTCGGTACATTTTACTGTTTTTCTTTGACAAAGGCGAAAATGCAAGCAAGGCGGCTAAAATTGTGAATGGTGTTTATGGTTCCGATACTGTAACAGCCAATTATGTTTGTATGCAATTTTGGTTTCGTAAATTCCGTTTAGGAATTTTTGATGTTAAAGATGCACCTCGCACAGGTAGGCCGGTCGTCGAAAATGTCGATAAAGTCGGAGAAATGATCGAAGTTGACCGGCATGTTAGCCATCGTAACATCACCCAGGAGCTAAAAATCGACCATAAAACAGTTTTAAACCATTTACATAAAGCTGGTTTCAAAAAGAAGCTCGATGTTTGGGTGCCACACCAATTAACAGAAAAAAACATGATGGATCGAATTTCCATCTGCGAAGCTTTGGCCAAACGAAATGAGATAGACCCATTTCTTAAACGGATGGTGACTGGAGATGAGAAATGGATCACATACGATAACCGTGTGCGAAAACGATCGTGGTCAAAGAGCGGTGAAACACCTCAAACGGCCAGGAAGGTTTTGCTATGCATTTGGTGGGACTGGAAGGGGATTATTTATTATGAGTTGCTTCCATATGGCCAAACGCTAAATTCTGATCTCTACTGTCAACAACTGGACCGTTTGAAGATAGCGATTGACCAGAAACGGCCAGAATTGGCCAACAGGAGAGGTGTCGTGTTCCACCAGGACAACGCTAGGCCACACACATCTACAGTGACTCGCTAGAAACTTCGGGAGCTTGGTTGGGAAGTTTTAATGCATCCGCCATACAGTCCGGACTTGGCACCAAGCGATTATCATCTTTTTCTTGCATTGCAAAATTTCTTTAATGATAAAAAATTGGAATCTAGGGAGGATTGTGAAAATCGACTACTAGAGTTTTTTGCAAATAGAGACCAGGACTTCTATGAGAGAGGCATTTTGAAGTTACCTTTAAAATGGACAAATCGGACATTCCGAAGCATGTTAAATAAAGTCCTGAAGTTCATATAAAAATAATGGATTTCTTTTTCCCCAACCTAATATAAAAGAAGCACATAATCATTATACTTTGTGAGTCGTCAACATAGAGAGTAAAATTTTAATGTGCAATTTTAAATTTGTTCTTAATAGTTTTTAGAAGGATCTCCCTTTGCAAATCATGCGCCGAAGGAGACCAAGGGTAGGGCACGAAATTGGTACAGGGCTTATGAACTGCCCGTTCGGTAAGTACGTTTCATCCATTCGTTTATGCCACCATATCACCCAAACTATCTGGTCGAAAAGAAAGTGTGCCCGAAACTTTCCACATACCTGAGCATCGGCATAGTATGGTTTGTGTTCCACTTATATATATGTACATTCAGGGCAAGTGTTTTACAAAGAAAAAAAAGATTTGTCCACCAATCCAGTGGTTTAAGACTACACGGCTTTTTCATCGTTCTCACCCACTTATCCAGGAGTAACCTGTATACAGCACAACACACTACCATGACACGTTGTATTTAACCGTACTGCTCGCCTTTGAGGAATCCTACACACGGTTGTCTTTCCTATCATACCTGACATCTCATTTTAAGTCGAACGTTCACACACACTTTCTCCACCCCCCTCCCGCTGTAACCCTGCCTGATCTCCACTGTGGCCATACGCATAGGGGATATCCTCTGAGTGGCTGGTTATAGAAGAAGAAAAAAAACCAGTATAAAAAATTAGCAAAAGAAGAAGCATTTTTAAATTATACATACAAAGGTAACACATCATTACATATTTTACACATCCGAGTACTTAGCTCCAATGAACGCAGCCAGTAAAAATTATAAATGTATGCTATCAATGCTGAACGAATTTTTTAAATTCGTCAGGTTACTATGTTGTAAAATGACAGAATCTGAAGAACTTGTAAAAACTTTAAACGTCTGATCAGATGTCTTTGGGTATGTTGGATACCCAGAGTAACTAGCGAATCTCCATTCATCTCGAAAAAATTCATTAATCTTTGTGTAGAAAATAATATCGAAAATATTCAGACTACAATTGGTGTGCATCGGGGTAGTGGTCGAATAGATAGAATAAATCGAAGAATAACAGTAATTATGGCGAAAGTATCATGATCTGAATCATCATAATGGTATAAAATTGTTGGACAGGTTCAAAAGACGATAAACACCACTTTAAATATTTCAGCAAAGACGCATATAAAAAAGAACGTAATGTACGGATTGTTGGAAATGTTAGAGCACGAAGTAGTAATTACAATAAGGAGCGAGTTAACATGCGAAAAAATGTTAAAGAACAAATCCAGACGGGTCAAGATACATTTAAGCGAAATGACGTTGCAGACAAACAGAGATAGACAAAACAGTTCTTAATTTTAAGTCGGCAGCTAAAGTTCTAAAATCGCAGAGTCGTTAAATAGAGTCAAGTTGTAAGATAGTACAGTCGTCAAACCTTTCTGTTAACTTTTATTATTATTATATCTGAATTTTTCATTACACCTGAATTTCAATTACTTTTTAATAAATATTAGTATATCTGTAACTAAAATAAAGTAGTATCAAGATTCTTAACTTATATATATATATTTTTAGTTGAAAGTAGGGCCAGCGTACTGTCAACCAGTCGTTCTATAATATTTACGCGAACCAAGTCTTCGTTTTACGTCAGGATGGGCATTTATTGCCGAATGAGATAAGGACTTCGATATCCTCTTTTTCTGGCTTTATTTTCGAGTACATCACCCAAAAATCCGTTTATTCCAACTTTCAAAATTTCTCAATATAGCTGTTAGTAGATTACATGGTTAAACTTTGATCGCCGAAGGTGTGAAAGGCATATTTCTCAAAGACGCCCATACCAAATAGACGAAAGAAGTGTGGTCCACAACAAAGTTATACCTTGCTTAGTCACTTGCGTTGTCTGCTCATAGGTTGGCTCGAAAAGTTTGTATGTCAAAAAAAAACTTAGGTTCTTTTCCTCACTTCTTTTTTTTGCATTAGGATGTAGCATCGTTGCTACTATGCCGTGTAACGGCTTTTTATCTCCATTTACCCATATGGGTATCAATAAAAGAGCGTAGAAGGCACAATGGGAAAAACTATTCGATCTCTCGGCATAGTAGATTAATTTTTTTACAATACCTTTAAGTGAAGTAAAAGATGAAAAAAAAATTTCATCTCATTCACTTTTTATCACATTAAATAATATGATGGGCCACTAAAGATTTCCGTGGTGATGGGTGCGCGAGGTTGGACCCGCGCCGAACTTAACTGTTACTTGTGTTAGATTAATTTTACTTTTTTACTCGTGTGTTCACCAAGCTAAGTTTTGCTTCACTCTTTATTCCGAATTTCAATGACTCATTTTATCACTTCTGCTCACAATAGATTTTTTTTTATTTTGTTCTACTATTTGCATATCTGCTTCCAAAATGAAAAGCCAATTTTCAAATTAAACTGCGCGAATATATTGAATATGAGAAATTTTTTTTCTAAAATTGTAGTATTGTAACAGACATCTGTGTCAAAGTTCACACCATAAACGTTATTAGTCTTGTAACTGGTTTTGTACAACACAATATTATTTTTTGTGATTTTTACAGTCTGCAACTTTGTTGAGCAAAGAACTATTAATCGGCCTTAGCACGTGAGATGAAAGTTGTATCTACGCATTAGACCCGGAAACAACCGATCAATCGAGGGAATAACGTGCAAAAGATGGGCCAAGATCGAAAAAAACGCACCAAAGTTAACTCCTTAACTTCCTCAACTATCCCGGTATTGTGCACCATGAATTCCTTCCGCCGGAACAAACTGTTAACATGGAATATTGTTTGAGTGTTATCCGACGTTTGCGTAAAGGTATTACTTATAAACTATGGGAAATAAATGTACACAAATTTCAACTCATATTCTATAGGCGATGCTGTACCATCTGTGCACAAAAATGGAAAAAATTGACCACGTCTACCCAATATTATAGTGTGTCAAAATTTAATTGTTTTTTCAATATCTTTCTAAAGTGCAGAAACAAGATTCAAATACTCTTTACAGTATGCAAGTTCTTGGCCACTTACAATCCTTGAATACACCTAAACATGCCGGCCTGTTCATCTGTACACCTGTCTGCTTGCACAATTTTGTAGTATATGTGGTGGTAAACAGTCTCCCGTTATCGAAAATGAAGATATCGCCTAAAAATTTTCAAAAGAATTTCGAATTGACCTACACTGTTCAACGGATACGTCTGTAATGTGCACATACCTCTACGACGAAAACTTTCATTTTGGATATAGAAAAGTAAGGTGCGCGAACTCCATAACATAGAGCATGATAAATATTTTTTTTTACTTCTTTTGTCTTTTGTAGGATAACGGTGATAGATATAAAAGATTCGATGCCGACCGAATTTAGTTTTCTTACTTGTTAAAATTCTCTTTTTCCTTGAGTGATAATCTTTGAATATGCACTATCATTATAATGTAAGTTGCCTAATTTAAGTTAGCAAACTGAACTGACCAAACAACATGTGAAGCTATATCAATGACAGCAACTTGGCACATTCCCAAGTAATGCACCAATAAATGCAATATCAGCGTCTACGATCAATTATCACGCCAGCGCAGAAATTAAAGAAACATAAAATGATTTGTATAGTAGGATAAGTTTTTAGTTGGTTTCTTGACTCAACTGCGGTCTGATCGAGAAAATGAAAACGTTGTTTTTATAAAATCTCCGTTAAGGAAGATTTAACGATGGCTTGGGCGTAATATCTTAAAGCTCCGGAAAGAAAAAACAAATAAAGATAAGGCAATAAAAAAAATCAGCTAAAATAAATTATAATAAAAAATAATGCGCAAAATATTATAAATTATTTTATCTGCGCAAGAGTAGTTTTAATCCAATATAATAATTTATCTAAATTAAATTCAACACTTTTTCCTCATAGCAAGTGAAAAGTGAGCGCTTAACAATAATTTTTAACTTAATTTCATTTTAAAAAAATTTAATAAAAAATAATTGATTTTTAAATAAATAGTAAAGCTTCATTTATTATCAAACGTCGCTCTGCTACGGTTGAGTAGTATGATGCGTTCTCGACATTTAGCGGGGTTTATATAAAATGCAGTCCACATAACAATTTTTAGTGAAATTATAGGATCATCGAATAAACAAAAATTTTAATTAAAATAAAAACTCAAAATTTAGAAAGCACGAGAAAATATAAATAATTGGAGCAATAATGTTCACAACCAAAGGAGCTGTATAATAATATATGTTCGTCTGGACTTTCGAAATCGAAAAATCTATAAAAAATTTTATAAGCAAAGCGAATACAACGAGTAAATATCGATGAATTAAAAAAGATTATGATAATGTGTGCTAAAGGTTTTGCGGAGAGCAGAATGTTTCGAAAGTGAAAAACATGAAAGTAATCAATAATAATACTGATGCTTAGTGCAAAGAAATGAGCGCCACCAATAATTAAAAAACACTCAATTTTGAAAAGAATTATTAACTTTGAAGAAATTTTTTTTTTTTTTCGAAGTTTGGCAACTCTGCACGCGCGGTATAGTCGTCTTGATTTTTTCTGCAACTAATATTTTAATTTCTTTTTAAATTTTTTTGCTACTTAGTTTTATTGTGCCTAAATTTATAAAATCTTTACAGTGAAGTGAGTGAATTTAAAGTAAAGGAACTATATTGTCTTTACGCGTTAATTCGTTTGGTTTTTGCAATCAAAAATGTGGCTCTGGTATGTCTCCTTTTTTTTCTCTCCTTTTTTGGTGTTTGCAATTTTGTTTTGCTTTCGCCCTCTTGTTACAGTGTCAACGTAACGGAAAAGTTTGGTTAAATTTGTTGACAATTTTTGTGTTGTGGCTCTTTTTATATTTTGTTCTCTTTTTTTCTTCATAATCCACTTCTGCCGTTTTTGACTGGACGTGAATTGTTTATATACACCATGACGCGCAAAAACAGGCCCGGAATCGGATAAATTCGTTTCTTGTTGGCACTGCTTTCTCGGCCGTGCTGCTGACGCAGTCGCTGACCCTTTTAAAGGCTTAGGATGGTAATGTCCTGACTGTAGGCAGCGGGACATTCATTTTTACGAATTTTTCACGGAGACGAGAAATGGTTTCTCGGAATTGAGTAGAAATCTCGGCTCCTTGTGGGAGAAGTTTTAGCTAATTAAGTCTAGGCTTGATGAGTGTCGTTTTATTGAGTACTTCTCTTCTACCCAAGCCAGAAAAATAACAACTCACAGCGTAGCGTGTGGGACGTCACTTCTGAGTTCCTCTAAATCTGATTGGTTGGTACAAGTTACCGCTCCCTCTAACTCTAAAATGAACGTTAATGTTTCCGATATTGTTGAGTCGATCGGTAACAAAATAGTTAAAAACAAGCCGGCAAGTCCTTTTGTTTTAAGCTACGCTGAAGCGGCAAGAGTATTTTCCACCAGAGCCGCCACTCACTCTAATGATGCTCTCCCCCTGGCTGTTCGAATATGAACGCTGGTCATCAGACTGGGCAAGTCGCACAAGTTGCTGGTGCAAGGGCAATAACGCCATCTTTATTCTCCCCAACCTTCCTGTTCCAAGTAATGACGTTTGTTTGACGGCAGTTCCTCCAAGAAAAGCAATATTTGTGTCAAGACTGGCACCTGAAACATCGGTGG